GATGGTGACGGCGGTCTCCTGAGCGAAGGTGTCCTGGAGGACGAGGTCCTCCTTCTCAGCCTCACCGGCGGCCGCTGCCCCGCTGCCCACTCGACCACGGGCGGAGGACCCGTTAGTGGATGCGGCGGCGGGGCCGGCGGGGATACCCAGCTTCCTCTCCCGGAGCTTCTGCATGTACTTGATCTCCTCGAGGGCGACGCTGCGGTGGGAGGAAGGGAGGCAGGCATCAGCGAGAAGGCCTAACAAAGCAAGAGAGAGGAGTGGATTGGAGGGAGGGGTACCGGCGAGTGTCCTCGTCGTCGGAGCGGTCGTCAGTGTCCGGCTCGATGCCCCGCTTGCGGAAGTTTCTCGGCATAGTGGGGAGGTGTTGCCGTGTTGGGCTCGGGCGGGATTTGAGGTAGGGAGAAGGGTCGACCGGGTAGGGCGACAATCGCCGGGGGTGTGGCCGGCGGCGAGGTGTGCCGATGAGGAGAGCAGATTTGGGATTGGAGGGTTTGAATCCCAAACGAGTTTTTCAGGTCCAGGGCTCCGGGCCTCCGGTGGCCAGGCCCAGGTGAGGCCGGCTCGGTTGCACAAACCACAAAGCATGAACCTGATTGAGTTACAGTAACTGCCATGTGGGCCCGTCCGTCCTTTGCCCGTTTTAAGCTTGAGTTTCAAGCGCAGTTCATTTCGGTTTACCAAATCCCCAAATCCAATAGATAATCTCAAGTTTTAATAAAATCTACCTGCATTGAATCTATAATCAAGTGTTACTCCCTTGGTTCATTTATCTTTTTCATCTAAGCAATTTTTTTTTCCAAAAGTCTGGGACAACGGGTTTGGCTTCTCATACGTGTTACGCATTTGGTGCTCATTAGCTGCTCCTTTTCTGCATTTATTGATCCTTGGTTGCGACTCCTTGGCTGCTCCTTGCCTTAAATGCAAATCGGTGTTGTTTGTTGCTCCTTGGTCATTGCGCCGAAGACTAATACAATGGAGACTTATGGATGGAGGGAGTACCATTTAGGGTTTAGTCGAAGAGCCAGGCAGAGGTGACTGTTAGACAACTTTTCGAGGTGAGGGAATGCTAGGTACCAAATCAAACACACCCTTATGATATATATAATTAACATTCTACATAGTCTTTTATGAGAATTGGTCTAAAAATATCGTATTTAAGTAATTGACACCTTAATTAATGAACATAGAAACCATCTAGGTTCATGTTTAGGAGTGCCTAACACACAACTAACATCTAAGGTGGAACTAAACTTCCGATAATCTAACATTAATATACACATGTACCGCCACGGGCCAAATAACCGAGCCAATGTTATAAAAGTTTTTTTATCTCAAGTGGAATTATCTTGAGCTTACAATATTTTCACGAGAATCACGTAGGTTAACGTTTTTTTTATCTTAAGTGGAATTATCTTGAGCTTACAATATTTTCACGAGAATCACGTAGGTTAAGAACATGAAGGAAAAATAAGTTTAAACTAATATTATGAATCTAAACAGGTTTGTTCATGATCCCGCAGGCAGGACACTTTTAAGTGAACTTTTATTTAAGAAACTATTGTGTATCTGTGGATAAGCCCACTTGCATCTCTACTAAGTACGTGAAGAGGAGAAATGGTGAACTGAGTTTAAGTTCATTTTCTTATGCTGCCAGACAAACCTCACTTACGAAAATTGGCAAAAAAAAAAACTATTTCCTAGGTACAAGCAATAGGGGCTTTTCTAATATTATCTCAATGTATCAACATAAACTTTTGTGTGTTTTCATATCCCGACCAAAATTGGATATGTTCGAAAGTGGTTATTGTAGCAACACTGTAGAAAACAAACAATAACAATCGCAACCAGAGCATAGCCAAGCATGCCCATTGTTTGTCTAACATGGCTCTCATCTACATTGTATCGACTTGCTTGGCTTACCTCCAACTCCAATAATTTTTAGAGCTAGATATGCCTAGCATCGTAAATCTATGGAGAAGAGTAGTGTTGTAGACAATTGAAGCCCTATCTTACCACATGTTGTAAAAAGTCCCAATCCCAAGTAAGTTCCAATGATCTTGATGTAATTTGTAAGCACACTGATGACTGTCCAAAAATAATTATATCCCCCTCAACAACATAAAGAAGAAAATTCCTATGCTACTGAAAAAATTAAACCCCTTTATGACATGTGCCAGTACTACAAGTCCAATGTACCTTGTGTGGGTTATCTTGGGCTGCCTCTTGGACTCTTGGTTAATCTCTGTGCCCTGAGGCTTCGAAACCCAATTAGGCTTTTTCCCTGTGCTTGGTACAAGAACCACTAATGTTGTCCTAGATTTAACCCCGCTGGTCAAATCTGTCAGGTGTGAAAAGTGACTCGACTAGTTCTCGACTCTAGGATGATTGTGAGGAGTCACTCCCCATTGCATAGTTATCCAACCAAGTTGTCTACTGCAAACAACCAATCACTACTAGGAATTAATTCTACTCGTCTAGCTCGGTGTGTGTGTGGGTGGGGGGGTGTGGAGGTTGGTGGTGGTGTCACTATTGGTGCTATTTTACTGTGATACTTTTATACCAATTTAGTTGATTATTTCGTCAATTTGTGAAAATGTTTATACCACTTGGCACTTACGCTAACCCCATAATTGAACATCTTGTGTTTTTCTAACCCATGTTGCTAAATAGTAGACAAGTAGACTTGGGTATGATTGAGGCTCGAGTTACTCCATATGTACCGACGACTGTGATCGTTGCCATTGGTAGGGAAAATTTGTACCCCTTTGTAGAGCTTTGAATTTGTTTATGTTCATAATTTGTTACAGAATCAAACCAGTGTCTTTGGTGGTGGGTGGGGGGTTGTACCTGCATTCACTCCCATGCAAAGAATCTTATAGACATACTTGCACTCATGGGCGGAGCTTGGCTAAGGCCAAAGTGGGCAATGGGCACCTCTGCAGCGCAAATTGTTCACTAGCTAAACAGTAAAATTACTACTGTTCACTATTGTTTGACTCACAATTCACACCTGTGGGTACAATTAGGGGCGAAGCTAGCACAAAACTGACCCTGGTGCACACTTATCGAATATAAAGAAGTGTATACAAATATAAAGGAGATACTCAAATACATGGAAAATTAGAGGCAGGTATTAGCAAACTTTTGTGTTAACCATGGTGCACATGCACCGGGGGAAAGCTGGAAAGGGAAAGCCAACATGGGTTCGCCCCTGGTGGATGCAAATCAATTGAGTGAGTAACTTTATTTGGCGTAACAATTTCTATTGCACTTGTATGCTCGAATCATATCCACTGAAGATGAATTATAGTCATATACTTAGGCAACAACGAGAGCGTGCTTCGACCATTATCTTGTACTCCCTCAGTCCCGAAATAATCGCAAGTCTAGCGTTCAAAAATTTTCCCGAAATAATTGAACACCTTCACATACGGCAACAGGCCAGCTATCCCATCGGCGTGACAGACTGAGCAGCCACAGGTTACTGCATCTGCACCTCCATACACGTGGCAGCGCTGCAACGTTTGCCCAGCGTGTGGGCCCAAGAAAATATGAAAACAACAAAAAAGGAAGAAAGCGTGGGAGGCTCCACTGCTCCAGAAGGTCCTGTCCACTCGTTTTCCTCGTTCACGCGATCCTTCGGTCGCGCTCGTGTGTCGTCGACGCACCTGATGCCTCCCTGCAAGGGCATTTTCGTAATTTGGCATGCAGTGTAGAAATGCAATTATTCTGGAACGGAGAGAGTATCGATTACACTCATTTTTTGGGCCACACGTGCAATTTGTTTCAGCGCAACAGGAAGATTATTAAAGAGCAAACTAGATTTAAAGATATTTTCAATGATATTAATTATATACTATAAATATTAATATTTTTAATATATATTTAATCAAAGTTGTTTATCGGGAAGCGAAAACGACACACATGTATATATATATATATACAAACAGACGGAGTAGCGTGTTCGTTCCCAAAGTCAAAACACGGCAATGGTCAATTCTCAAGCCGTATGGCTGCTCGCCATAGTAGTCAGGCATGACGACGCTGTGCAAAGAATACTAACCAAGAGTGACGTGATGGAGATGGAGTCAAATGCAGCAACCTGTCTAGAAGAATGGCGGCTGGGCTTTCTAATCTTCTAGTTGAACTGAACAGTTAGTACCGAGTAATTCACTGTTTCAACCTTTCAAACAAAAAACAGTCATCAGAAGAGAATTCGAGTTTGACCGACCACACGACACGTCTGCAGGAGTGCAGATAACTTGCTTCCCTTTGAAGCAAGCAAAGCAGATCATAGCAAGTAGTAGTAGTACCGCTACCACCCACCGAAGGAGTGCTTGCTGTTGTCTCCTCCTGGCCGGGCTCTGGCGGCTGCGGTGGGCCGGTGGCGCTCGCTGCATCTAACCGGGCCGGCGGGCCCACGTGGCAGCGTCAGGCGGGCCGACGAGCTTTGGAATCCACGCGTCTCCTCCCCTTTGCCTCGCAAAGTCGCAACTCGCAAGCCTCACGCGACATTCGACGATTCGACTCCCACTACCCCCGTCCCGTCCGCCGCTGCCGCTGCCGCCACCAGCCACCAGCACCCGGCAGAGCAACCCCGCGCCCCGCGCCCCGCGCCCCCCGCCCCCCGCGCGTCATTGACTCCCGCGCGCCGGCGAATATTCTCATCCGCTGCGGACGTGGGCAGGGGCAGTTCCGTCCGACGAGTCGCAGGAAGCCCCCGGGGTACAATTAACGCGGGGGGTGGTTCGGTCAGTCCTCCCCCTCCCCCTCCCCCTCCCCACTACGCGCAGGCGCAGCAGCAGCAGCAGGCCAGCAGCGTACGACCTTTTTCTGGTTCCGTGTGCGGCTGTGCGCTCGCGCTTTTCTTCTCCGTCTCCTCCCACCGCGGCAAGCTTCCAGAAACAAGGGAACCGGAGACCAAGGAGGAGCCGAGTCGCTCCAAATGCTTTGATCTCCGGCCGTGGGCTCTCCTCCCGGCCGATCCCTCCTCCTCCATGGCGCGCGTCCTCCCGCTCAGCGTCGAGGCGGGGGAGATGGCCAGGTACACGCGCAGCGGGGCTGCTGCCGTTTCTTCATCAACTTCAGAGTTCAGATTACCTCTTCTCTTCCTTCTCTCTCTCCCCCCCTGGAGATTTTGCTTCAGCGGTAGCCGGTAGGCTTGAGAGAATCTAGTCGGTATTTCTGTTGATTTTGAGTGTTGCTTATGACGCGTAGTGTAGCCGCCGCCCGCAGGCACAGGTGGATTTCGCTTGTTTAGGAGGTTTCATTCATCCGTCCCAAAGCCCGGTGTAGTTAGTATCGCCAGCTGCAGATTGCGTTCAGGGAGGAAGATGCTCTTCTTGCTCCCTTCCGCTTGGTCGGGAATGTGCCGTGGCCCCCACTTTTGGCTTGTTCGGTGCGTTTAAGTTTCCAAGAATGGCGGTAGGTGCTGCCTTCGGAGCAACGGCGGCCGCCGCCGACCAGCCACCGTAGCTGCCGAACGCCACGCGTCGCCGTGTGGTCACCACGGGTGCACGCCACGCGTGGATCTTATCCTATTTAAAACGTACTGTCCGGTCTTAAGCTTGGTCGAATTGGGGAACATAATTATTACACTAGTTAACGATGTTCCAACTTCTAAGTTACTACAATCATATCCAATTTCTTAGTCTCTTTCCTAATCATCTCGATTGAACCACTGGCCGTTGCACTGCACCATCCGGTGGGTGGTTTCAGAGACTAGTGTGGTGGATGTGGATGAACATGAACCGATGGACAAGTGCAAGTGGATGCCTTTGACAATCTTGCTAGGCGTAATGTTTGCACTGATATAGTTGGAATATTACGTCAAATAAAGAAGATAAAATGGAAACTTTTGTGCGGGTAATTCGACTTTGTTTCACTAGGGTCGTCAAATATGACTTTGAAATAAAGAGGACAGGAAATGCAGGTCTTGTTGTGCTACTAATTTTAGCCAGAGAGTACCAGCACTTCAACTTCCATAGAGACTGCAATCTAGAACCTATGTTCCCCTCATTCCGGGGCCAGGGATTCTATTGTGCATGTGTAATACCCTGGTATTGTATATATTGCAAAATGAGATCTCATTAGTCATTACAGTAACACGTGAGCCATATGAGGTTCCTTAGTTTCCCTTCTTGGATACATGCTACAAGTATGCCACAGCCTTACATTGACATGTTGATAATTAATTTTCATAATGTTGCCTTTCGTTGATAAACAGAGGCGAAGAGGCAGTGGCAGGCATGCCAAGGTCTTCAGCTGGGGCGTCATGCACAACAGTTGACCATTCTGAGCAGAACACAAAGGATGACGAATATGCGAGGCTGGTTACACGGGCTCAACATGCAACATCTGATGTTGGCACGGCAATTTTATCTGAGCAACCAAAGTCAAGATCTTTCATTTGGTGGATGAAAGTTCTGCTTGGCTGCTTCCTTCTTATATTAGTGGGTTATGTCTTCGTGAAATGGGGAGTCCCCTTTGCCTTCGAGAAGGTAAACACTGGTACTCTTTCTCACCACTTTTGCAGGCATTCTTTTCTGTAACCTGAAAGGTCTTGTCATCTGCGTAGATGAATCAGATTCTTTGGGTAATGCTAGGACAACAACAATTAGGTTTCAGAGATAAACTGAAATATGCTACTTGGAAAGCTCGTAAAGGATAGTTACAAATTTTTTGTCTGATGGCTTATTTGATCGATCTGGTCCCAGGGGATCAAATCTACAAGAATATATGTTTCTTATGCTTGCTAGTTACTTCAAACTATCCTGATAAACAGTATGCAAGATGTCTTTACTATTTTGAATTAAAAACAATTAGATTTTAGATGTATATATATGCCCTAAAGCTTGTAGTTCAGAAATTGTCACTCAGTAACAAACACATGGTACCAGGGCCCATGTCTCATTGTATCATACAGAACTTGTTATTTTTCTCTTAAAAAGCAGTGGATATGTTGTACTTTTAATTGGCAAACATCCTAGCACACTCTTATCATTTTGTAACAAGCAGTTGATATGTTGTAGTTTAAGTGAAATGTAATTTTTGGTCTATGTATCAATTGTGCCATTCTTCTTCATGCTATTTGTGCATGTTCCATGCTTGCTCTCAGCATTTCTCCAATGTTGACACAGAATGTACTTTGTCTATTTGCTGTAGGTTCTCTTGCCAATCATGCAATGGGAAGCAAGTGCTTTTGGGCGTCCAGTATTAGCTGTTGTTCTCGTTGCATCTTTGGCTCTCTTTCCAGTTATTCTAGTCCCTTCTGGACCTTCTATGTGGTTAGCAGGAATGATCTTTGGATATGGTTGGGGTTTCTTGATTATAATGGTCGGGACTACTATTGGCATGGTGGTACCGTATTGGATTGGCTCATTATTCCGTGAACGTCTGCATGTAAAATTTCTCAGCCTTATGTGTGATTTGTAATTTAAGAGGTAGATCTTTTCTATGGCGGGATTATTCCCTAATTCGTTTTTTTTCTCTACTTCCTTTTTTTTTATAAAAAAATGCAGGTATGGTTAACAAAATGGCCTCAGCAGATAGCATTAATAAAACTTGCGGGTGAAGGGAATTGGTTCCAGCAGTTTCGGGTTGTTGCACTTTTCAGAATCTCGCCATTCCCATATACAATTTTTAATTATGCCGTGACTGTGACAGAAATTAAGTTCAACCCTTATCTGTGTGGTTCTGTTGCTGGAATGGTACCTGAGGCCTTCATCTATATCTACAGGTTAGATATGATCTCTATCACATTGCAGATTATTGATCCATTCAACTTAGCATGGTTTGTTCATCACCATCTAAATCTCTAACCTCTACTTGTGTGCTGTAATTCTTTGCACATGATTCACATACTCAAAAACTAGCATGCTGAGTTTCTGACCATGAATCTAGTTAATCATTTTTTCTTATACGAGTTCACCAGTTGAAGGACATCTTGCTGTACTCTTCTTATAAGCTATAATCTGACCATGTAGAAGTTAGTTTATTTGAAAAGTTTTATGTAGTTTTTTTGGTTGCCAGTAAATTCGACAGCTTACCCAACATACTTACTTCTTAAGTTACTGAATGCGCTCATATGCTTTATCTTAATAGGTACTTTGTGATTTGCTTATTTCGTTATGTGTTTGGTGCAGTGGACGTTTAATACGTACATTGGCTGACATGAAGTACGGCAACTATAAAATGACACCAGTGGAAATAGCATACAACGCCATTTCCTTCGTCATCGCTATCGTCCTCACAGTCAGCTTCACGGTGTACGCCAAGAGAGCTCTGAATGACATAAAAAGTTCGGACGGTATCAGCAAGGAAGAAGATCATGGCCCAAATGGCTCAGGGGCACGTATGAGTCATCGTCAGGAGCGTGCCGATGTACGTTCCATAGAACTAGATGTTGTATGACGGTGTGTTCTGTTGACCGGGAGGTTGCTTGGAAGGAGGTAGGCAGGTCAGTAGGTGCAGGGTTACGCCAGGTAGGTAGCTATAGGTTAGAAGAGGAGGTTAAATAATACACACCCAGCTGACGTGGTTTTCTTGATTCAATTCGTGTGCTTTGCCTGCACACGGCCATATTGAATCTGAAGGTGCATGAATACTGAGTTACTGACCGAGCGTTGCTGCTCTCAGCGATGTTTCTGTGACCATTATGTTGTTAGTGATGGAAACATTGAGATTCTGTAGAGTGAGAATCACCGGCTTGCAACGAGCTACCGCAGCGGGCGGACATTCCAAGCATATCGATCGACCTTGTCCTTGGTCTGAAGCTTACACTGGAGCTTCATGTTTGTTGAAGCGTACATTGGAATAGTACATTTGTATATATAATAATAACATAACTTCCGATATAGTTAGCATATGATCTAATTTTGAACAGGAATCTCATGAGGCCCGTTCAGCGATGTTTGGTATTTCATATTTGGGATCTTGAATCTGTGCGTCTACGCAGAATACAACTTTCCCCAATTCGTTGAACCGTTTTGTTTTGCATGAAAAAAATGCAGGCGAGCGAGTTGGGGAGCACACGGCCGTGGAGCTTTACAGCATTTGGGCTGGACAGTAAGCGGTTGCCTAGGCCGCGCAGTCCTCTGGGCCAGTGTCCATCATCAGTGCGTCTGGCTGTGGCCTGCAGGAAATGGAAATCCACGGCGTAGGTGGCAGTGCGCGCGGCACGGCCGGCGCTTGCGCCTTTAGTCCCAAACCGATTGCTGAAGCCAGTGGCAGCAGGGAGCGCTGCTATTTAAGAGGGCCAGGAGCTCCACGAGAGAAGCACGCAGCTGCGCAGTGGGCACATAGCGAACTATTCTTTCGCCTTTTACTAAAGAATACCGTGTGTCCGCTGCAATAAGCAGCATACGCCTATTTTTGGAGGGTTCTTCTTCTCTGTGAGGAGAAGCCCAACAATTCAATATAAATTTTATATGTCATCCCATCTAAACAAATAAAGTCAGCCCATCCAATCTAAACTTTTGTGAAAGTTGAAATCTAAAACTGGTTAAACCACCTCTTCGTTTTATCTCTAACCGGTTATATGCGGTTTGTATTGACGGTTTTGTCGGTTTATATTTTATTTATTTTGGCTGAATCTTGAAAAATTATAGTAAATTATAGAAAAATTATAAAATAGAAAATTTAATTTATATTTAACAAGCATAAATCGAAATAAAATTTATAATTAAGTTATACATGATCCAGTGATAATGAAATTTTTACTACAGTTTAAACATTCAATAATTAGCCTAGAAACTACATCTATGAATTATTATATTTAATTAGAGAAATATATAGATCTAAAGCGACTGCAAAAACTTTGTACTAAAGCCTATCATATTATGTTCATTGTGTAGATTTACTCACGTGGAGTCCAATAAAATTAGATTTTCTATTTTATAATTTTTCTAACAAAATTAGATTTTCCATTTTATAATTTTTCTATGATTTACTATAATTTTAAAGATTCAGTCAAAATAAATAAAAAAAAAAAAAAAACAAAACCACATTCAAAACTGTTTATACAGGGGGGAGGTAGGATAAACGGTTTTAAAAATTAAGGAGATGTTTTGCCTGCTTTTATAGTTTACGGAGAAAAAACGGATTTTTGCGAAAGTTATAAAGGTAAAATAGACTTTTTTTTTCATTGAAATTGTGCAGGCGGGCGAGACCGGCAGCCGGCAGCGCCGGCGTCCCTGCGCCGCAGTTCACAGCATTTGTTTGGACCGGACAGCAAGCGGCTTCCTAGGCCACGCAGTCCTCTGGGCCAGTGGGCATCATCACTGCGTCTGACTCTGGCCTGCAAGAAGTGGAAATCCACGGCGTAGACAGCGCGCGCGGCACGGCCGGCGCTTGCGCCTTTAGTCCCAAACCGATTGCTGAAGCCAGTGGCAGCAGGGAACGCTGCGATTTAAGAGGGCCAGGAGCTTCATGGAAGAAGCACGCTCTGCGCAGTGGGCACAGAGCGAACTATTCTTTCGCCTTTTACTAAAGAATACCGTGTGTCCGCAGCAATAAGCAGCATACGCCTATTTTTGAAGGGTGCTTCCTCCTACGTGAGGAGGAGCCCAACAACTCAATATAAATTTATGTGTCAGCCCATCTAAACAAATAAACTCAGCCCATCTAATCTTAACTTTTGTTGTGAAAGTTGAAATCTAAAACTGGCTAAACCACCTCCGGTAATAAGCGGTTTTTATAGACGTTTTTGTTTTTTTATTTTTTAATTATTTTGGCTGAATCTTGGTAAATTATAGAAAATTTATAAAATAAAAAATTTAATTTTGTTGAGCTTTTATTTGAGTAGATTTACAGTAAACATATAATATGGTATGTTTTAATATAAATTTTTTAGTTTTAGATCTAAGTTTTTGTGTGGTGGGATAATTATTGTTTGCTTTAACTATAGTAAAAATTTGATACTCATGGGATAATGTATAACTTAATTTTAAATTTATAAATACTTTTAATAATCATACATCTAAATAAATCTATAACTAAGTTATACATGATGCAATAAGTTCACCATAAAACCGCATGACTATGAATTAATTATAGAAAAGTATAGATCTAAATCAGTAGCCAAATATTTGTACTAAAGCATACCATATTATATGTTCTTTGTGTAGATCTACTCACGTGGAGTCCAACAAAATTAGATTTTTTATTTTATGATTTTTCTGTGATTTACTATGATTTCAAAGATTTAACCAAAATAAATAAAAAAAGAAAAAAGACAAAACCGCTTATAAGGAGGTAAAAACGGTTTTAAAAATTTAGGGAGATGGTTTATTCGGTTTTAGAGTTCAGGAAGGAAAATGAGACGTTCAGTCAAAAATTGAGGGAGGTAATATGGACTTTTTTTCTTTGTGAGGGTTCTTTCTCCTTGCCCAACAATTCAATGTAAGTTTTGTGTCAGCCCGTCTAAAGAATACCGTTGCCCCTGCTGCATCAAGCAGTATACGCTTATTTTTGTTGGGATCTTTCTCCATTTTGAGGAGCCCAACAATCCAATAGAAGTTTTTGTTGTTTTCAGTTCAGCAACTAATGAACTGCACTTTCCCTCGGGGGAAAAAAAACTAATGAACTGCACTACAGTAATCTTCCCTTTGATCACTGCTTGCAGCTGGAACAAAACAACAAAAGCAAGTGCTTCGTTGGGCGATACAAGTAATTCAGAACCGTCTGATGAGACTGTCTACATTTGTTAGTCCGTCTGATGAGATTGTCCTTATAAAACTCTTTCGGGTAGTTTATACCTCAACTGTCAATGAAACACAAGCGAAACCATGCTTGAGTAAAAGTTTAAACAATTCAGCTGCAACTGTATGGTTCAGTAGTTTGAGAGGTTCGTTTGACACGAGCTGCGTAGAGACATTTCTTTCCAGGTCAGAGTTTTCTGATATGATAGATACAATTCCACGCAATACATGTCAAACCATGCTTGCTTCAGTACAGCTTTTTTTTTTAATACATGTAAGGAATGAAAGAATTTGTATAAAACCTTGTGGTTAACTACCTGTATCACATCCTTCAGTAAACAATGTGTATTAGTATATGTATACTGTATAGTGTATAGTACAACCTGCCCTATGACATCTACTACTCAAGCAGTATGTTCCATTATTTTCCCTGGCCCCTACCTACCTATTATACACACCTTCATCGTCCATTGAATTGTCTAAGGATTCTTCAAAACTTTTCACATCTTCATTCATCGAATTGTCCGAGGATTCTTCAAGAAAATTTCCAGCTGCAACTGCAAGCCTGCAACTGCGCTCGTCAGTCAGCTGCGGCTGGCACTGCAACTGCAAGTGCACCGTGCTGCAGAGGCGACCGGAACGCCTCCCTCGGCGTGGACGCCTCGCACCCCCTCGCTGACGCTGGCTGGTTGAAGCTTCGCCTAAGCGGCGAGGCGAACCGGGAGGCGGCGGTGGCGGCGGCGGCGGCATTGCACCTCGGCGAGAGGTTCAACTGCTCCAGCGCCTGCAGCTGGAGCTCCGACGGGTAGTCGCGGACGCACCCGATCCGGGGCCCCGCCCCCGTGGTCCACTTGAACGACAGCTGCTTGCCCAGCTGGTACGACTTCATCTCCTTCTTGGAGTTGATCCGCTGCAGGATCTTCTCCCGCGGCACTGGCGCCTGCTGCTCTTCGGCCGCCTCCTGATCGACGTCTTCTGATGGTTCTAGCCGTGCCGTTGCAGTTTCTTCTTCGCGTCTCCGGGTATCTGTACTGCCACTGCCAGCAGCTTCAGGACCGGTTTCTTCAGGCGCAGCCGTTGTTTGGTCTTGCGTTTTCTCGCTGTCTGAAGTGATTCTCCTGAGACTGCCCCAGAACTCCTCATCCTCCTCATCCGGGCTCATCTGCAGCAAGCGAGTTCACAGAAAAGAATTAACCTCACGTCAACTATAGAGATGTTCAGTTAGCTTTCTGAATGATCAGGGTTGCGATGCGCCAACCTTAACATCGGTTAGATCAACCAAGTTGTCCTTGAGGAAGCTCTTAAACTCTTGGAAGTTCTCCTCTGTCGGCCGGTAGTGCCCGCTGTGAGGCCAAATAGCCTGTCACACAAACATAGCAGATTTGCCTCGGCACGATATCTAACAAAGTGGTAACTGAAAAAGTGCAACTGAAAATCTACTCATGGTAGAATGATAGTAGATTGATAGGTACCTTCAAAGTTCCGTCCTCAACAACCAATCGCCCAGCAGCAGAAGTGGCCCCTCCAGCAAGGAAGCTAGAGTGTTGAAATGTTCCCTTTTTCTTCTGCATTTGGTTTGAAGTTACAGGACAATGTTACACGATGAACAGATAATTCTAGGCTTGAGTGAAACTTTTCCAATGCGACGGCATCAAAATATTTACCTGGCCAACGTACAAGTTCTTAGACGTGCTAAGAACAAAGATCCACTTTGCGTCTCGCGGTCCGCAAGAAGTGTCAAGGATTTGCCCACTTTTCTTGTACAAGAACTTGCCGTCCTCGATTACGACTTCATAGTCCTCTCTTTCTTTCTGCGCAAATATAAGCATGGTACATTAGCCATCGTAGTTTTTTTTTTCACTTTCCTCGGTCAATCTCTCTGTTCTGTGAATACTGAATACTTACTGGTCCAAGGTACTTGATGCACTGGCTCAGAAGCTTTGATCTTGAGCACTTGCCTTCAAGATTGATCTCCCTGCCTTCTCCGACATCAAGCCTGCATCGCCAAATCAAGATCATCAGCTTAAGTTGTCATTGCAGCCAGCGGCTGAAACTGTGAAATCAGAGACAGTAACAGAGTTAGTACTAACCAGTAGAAGAAAGGTTGCTTGCTTTCGGAGTGGAGCCAGCAATCATAGTAGTAGTGAAGATTATGGCCGTACCGGTGTCGAGGGTCAATCTGTTCATCATAAAACAATTTTCAGTTTGATGAAAAGTTAGTACTGCATATTATATTATTGGCTGCAAAAATGAGTAGAAACTAGTACAAGACTGTTTAGATTCGCAGACTGAGATGCTCACCGCTTCGAGCCAGTGCTGCAACGCAAGCTTCTGAGCGTTCTCGTCCTTGAGCAACCCCTTCCCGACCTTGGCGACCCGCGTCCTCGCCCTTGACCACTTGGACATGGCGGTCTCCTGCTTCTCGATGTCGAAGAAGGAGACGGAGCTGCGCTTGAGCAGCG